GAGATGTAGCTTGCCGCGGCTGGAGCAAGAGCCTTTCCAGCCCCGTCGGGCGGAGCCGGGGCTGATCCTGCCCGGCAATGGTTGCCCAGAGCGGCCTGCCCGCCTGCGGAGGACGGTTCTCTCTCCCGGCCCGTCAAGGAGGCGTTCGGACCGCTTCAGATTTGGCTCCGGTGGGAATTATTCGGGGCGTGGGAGAATCCCTTGCTCGCCCTCTTCCTCGGACGTTTCCCTGGAGCGAAGAGCAAGCTCCGGAGGAGCGGAGTCGGCGGCGGCCGCAGTCCTGGGCCCCCCATTGCCGTGGGGTTGAAAACCGGAGTGGAGGGGAATTCGGTGTCAGTTCTTTCGGCGCAGCCGACAAGGTGCGGGGAGGGGAGGCAACTCGGATGCGCGCCCGGTCTTAAAGTTTCCTGATCGCGATAACGCCGTCTGGGCTTTGCTCCCTGCCCTCTTGGACAGCCCTGCTTCAGCTCAGAGGTGGAGCCGCGCCCGGAACGCCTTCCGTGGCTGGAGGGCCTCCCGGGACCCGCAGGCAGGTAGGAGGGCCACGGGCCGTTTGGAGAGGGGTCCGGGGGTTTTAAGGGGTGGAATGGATGCCTTAACAGCACCCATTTGCTCTTTAAAGTTCCTCCAGTACCCCCAGAGCAAATATGGCCGTTAGGTTTCTCCCTCCCTCTGGGGCACAACCCTTAGTGTCCTGTCTATCCATGGCTGCCAGAGTATCCCTGGAGTTAGTAGAGATTGTAAGGGACCCTTTTCACCTCTTAAACCCACCAAACCCTCCAGAAAGCTGGGTTGATTGCTCCTCTTGGGGTTAGATGGGGAAATGGGAGCCTTAACCCTTCACCCCTGAAAGTGGGACCCAACAACCCCACTCACTCCAGCAAGGTCATGATGTCAGTGTCTGGCTTCAGCCTTTCAGCTGTGGTCCATAATCCTGAGAAAGCTGTAGGCTCTGGGCAAAGGATATATAAATCTGATGTCTTTGCTTTTTGCTGAATTGCATGAAACATACAGGCATAGTAGCCCCTTCAGACAGAGGAATAGATGTGGGAAGTTTTATGCAAGGAGAGTTTCGTATAAAGTTTTGCATAAATACTGCGAGTTATAAGACTCCCCCCCATAGTTTGGGGAGCAATTTGTATGATGATAAGGCTTTGCTTGCATAAAAAGCAAAGTTTGGGTAGTTTTAACCTTGGTTAAGATTTGTTTTTTTGGTGGTTTTACCTGCTGTGCAGATCCAGCAGCTTGGTTAGATGGTTGTTCCAGGTGTGATTAGAACATGAGCTGATTTCACAACCAGGTCAAGCACATTGTGGAGATCCAGTCACACTGTTGTTGGGTAGTTTTAGAAGTGTGGAGGTTGCATTTGAAACTGTGATGAAGGAAGAATTATACTTACGGCCCGGAAGTGCTTCCTTCACTGCTGAGGCCCAGGCTTTGGGACTTCCCTCTCAGGCTGAACATCCAGAAGGGAGGATGGCCGGGAGGCTGGCTGGGCCAAAATGGCAAGCTGAGCAGCATCTGTAACCATCGGAGTCATATTCGAAGCATGCCATGTGTGTGATGTTGTCATCGTGCAAATGGCACAATTATGTACTTGCTTTATACAGTACATAAATCCCTGCAAGGGCATGATAAAGTCCTTGCACGTGTGTGTTTAGTTGCATCCCTTCCCCAGCATGCACAAGGGGCAACGGATGCTGCTTTCCCTTCTTCCCCCGAAATCCTTTTTGAAGGAGTAGCAGTAGCCATACCTGGCCAGCCTGACTGAGAAACCAGCACCAGAAGCCAGGACTGTCGCTTCAATTGGCCATCCTGCGAAAGCATCACCCTGTGCTGGAAGTGGACGGGCAGAGAGGCAGAGAAATGCCAGGTTGCACAACGAGGCGTCGTCGGTAGGACAGTCTACACAGGAGTAACTCTTACTCCTGAATAGCCTGGCTTCAGCAATGTGGCTGACTTCCAGGTTCCATCCTGACTCCAAGCTGGATCTCTTCACTTGGACCTGAGGACATTTTCTGTTTCTGCAAGGGAATTCCAGCCCTTCTGAAGGAATCTTGCATACAGTATCCTAAACTTTGGATTGACCCGGGGCTCTGTCTTGCCTCTGTGAATGTCTTTATTGCTTTTGATCTTGGATTGTTGAAGACTTTGATGAAGCCCTCACATCACGATGCTGCAGCATTCCACCAGATTTATTCAGATGAGTTTGAGTGTCCCTCCCTATCGTTTTTGGAATGGTAATGTGTGAAATTGTTTTCTGGGTTTGATTCTGGACTTACCTGCATTAGCAACAACTATTAATGGGCCGCTGTGGCATGTTAGTAGAGCATTTTGTACGTATGAATGCTTGCATTCATTCAAATTTGGACACCAGCTGGACAAATCCAAAAAGATGCTGGGTTAACATCTTACGAGGTTATCAGGAAAGAATTTCAACCTGTTAATCCTGAGGAAATGGGCACAATCCTTGGTGAGATGAGAAGTATGCGCTGCCAGGTTTGGGAAGGGAAACAGGTCTAGACTGTTCCAAACGTCTCATGGCAGGAGGCTGAGATGCTGCTGTCCTTGAAGAATCCACTGGTGCATCCTCTCCTCAAGAAGCTAATGGTGGACACAATTGACTGGTCTCCAACCAATATCCATCTAACTGAGGACGAGGGGACAGTTACAAAGAGCTCTGGAAGAAATAGATGATCAGATGGCAAAAACTGCATCAGTTGCGCTCATTGATGACCTGTGACAGGGCCTGCCTGGGAATGCAGCCAAACTTGTCCTGCTGCACCTCTCGGTGGCTTTCAGTACCATCAACTGTGGTATAGTTCTGAGGTGACTGTGAGGGTTGGAAACCACAGGCACCATTTTGTAGTAGTCCCAGCCAGTGTGTGTGCAGAAAGAGAGGTTGAGCCTTCAGGTGGTCCAACATGAGATACCCTCTTCCCTCCTGTTTTATTTCATATTTATATGAAGTGGCTGAGGAAAACCACTGACACTTTGGGGTTTGCTATCAGCAGTATAGACTATACTCAGGTATAGGTCCCTACCCCAGAACATGGTAGAAATCTTGACCTGGTGCCTGGAAGCTGTAAGAGAAAGAGGTTGAGGCTTAACCCAAGCAAGATAGCCACTGCTGAATCTGGCACCATTTTTAGCTGGTGATGAGGTTGTGCTCTCTCAGAAGGCATTGATTTACAATCTGAGGTTCTCGTGCCTCTCAGTGCATGCTGGAACAGCAGGTGGAAGTTGTGCATTAGCTTCTAGTTGGTTTCCAGGTGCAATTAAGATGGTTGCAATAATCTCCAAAGCCTTGGATCTTTCTGAGATTGCTGGTTCCAAGGCATGCCAGCAGAGAGTGCATGCTGAGAATCCCCCTCTCCCGTGCATGAAATACGTGGGAGGGTTTTGGAAGTGAGCATTCTCCACTGGAGTGCTTTTACAGGGAAACACTTTGCTACCAGAAGTCAGATCCCCACTCTCTCCCTTAAAAACCTGGCTTTTTAAAAGCGTGCCTGGGGATGGAGGAGGGAGCAGTCCTGAGGTGGAGGCAGATATACCTTGTTATTTGTGGTTACTGTATTGATAGGAAAGCCTTTGCGTAAATAAATGCATCTGAACGTGTTTTGCCTGTGACTTGGGAGCACTCCAGTGGAGAATGCTCACTTCCAAAACACAGGCCTTTTCCTATCGGTGTGGTGGTCACCTCCTCCACCACACTGGCTCCCGTTTGTCCCTTTTGCCCTGGAAGCTGTATTCCCTTGACTGACTTCACAGCTGGTTTTCTGGCTTTTGGAAGGTGAGTGTGCAGGCAGGGGGTATTCAGCCCTTCTGGCGTCTGGCTGGAAGAGGGATCCAGTCTGAGAAATTCTGCAGGGCTGGGCTGCCTTTGTCCCTCTGGGATGATGACCTGCTCTCAGCTGACTCTGAATCAGCATTAACCCTTTGAACTCTGTAGGCAAGCTTTAACAGTCTTCCTTCCTCTTCTGAGGACAGTTGAAAGCTTGCCATAGTATAATAAAATTAAGTAAAATAAAAAGAGCAGTGATTGTTGATTCTGGGAGTCTTTCTGGCAAGCTCACTGTGGCTGCTGCAAGGGCCAGGCCTTGGTCTAGCCCCTCCACCTTCCTAAGGGCCACAGAGACGCTTAAGGATGGGACATGGGCATTTTTCCATTGATTACAGCGTGTAATGAATTCTGGTCTGTGACTGTAATAAAATATTGATTGATTGATTGATTGATTGATTGATTGATTGATTATGGTGTAATGGTTAAAGGCACCAGGCTAGAAACTGGGAGGCTGTGAGTTCTAGTCCCACCTTAGGCGCAAAACCAGCTGGGTGACCTTGGGCCAGTCCCTCTCAGCCCTAGGAAAAAGCAGGCAAGGGCAAACCACTTCCAAAAAACCTTGCCAAGAAAACTGCAGGGGCTGGTCCAGATAGTTGCCAGGAGTCAACACTGCTGACTTGAAGGCAGAAAATAGTGTGATAAGGACTTTGCTTAATCCAGGGCAGACAATCTTTTTCAGCCTGGAGGCAGCACCTCCTCCTGTCCTGGACCACTTGGGGATGTAGAAGGCATGACTGGGGAGTCTACGACATCACTGGGGCTAAAATTTTAGCCCTTTTCATTTGGGTGGGTGAGCTAATGGATGAAACTGATGCCTTGACGTGCAAAAACCTCCTCCAGCAGTTCTACTAGAGCACTGAGCAAGGCTAAGCCACGCGGTAGCTTCAGTTTTGGAAGCAGTGGGTCAGAGGGACGCATCACACAAACTCCCCTTCAGGGAAATCAGGTTGATTCGCAGGACAAAAGCAGCTGCTTCTTTTTGTGTCCCCAACGACCTGCACAGCTGCTGCTGCTGCACAAAGCACCGAAAGGGGCCTGAAGGCAGGTGAGGAGGCCACCTTCCTGCAGGGAGAGGCAGCTCTGCCTGGGCTCCTGGGAGTTGCAACCCACATGACGCGTCTGGAGAGCACTGGGCTTGCAGTGGGCACGTGCGTGACTGGAACACCCTAATGCCACTGCTTGAAATACAAGTATCTGTTGAAGCCATTGCTTCGGGTATCTGGAGTATTTGGGTAGAGCTGGTCCCTCACCCCAGGAGCTCCTTTGTCAAATTCCAAGCCCTCCACAATAGGATCCCCCAAGCACAGGCCAGTCACTTATGGAGAAACAGGCTCCCTGAATGAATAACTGCCCAGAGTTGCTCTGTAGTGAGATGGGTGGTGACAAATTTGAAATACAAAAATAAAATATAAAATAAATACCCTCCAGCAATCCCAACAGCAGCTCTCACAGGTGCTCTTTGACATCTGGAGAAGTGAACCTCCTGCCTTTGCCATGGCACTTAAAGGAGTGATGGGGCCCAGAGCCCAAAGCCGTGAATGAATGTTCCTGCAGACACTTCCAAGAACTGGGGTAGAACAGTGCCACCTTCCTTGAGGTCCTGCAGTGAATAAACTGCTTCAGTACCCCAGTGTCTCTTGATAAGGATGATTTCCCCAGAAAATGCCTGGCCTTAGCTGTGTTGTTCCCCTCCTCAGGGTGGAGAAAGGCCCAAGGCGAAGACTTAGTTGATAAAGTGGAAGAAGCAGGAATGTTGGGGAAAATTCTGGGATTGTTGGTTTAAGGAAAATGAAAGCTGGCTGAAACATATAACTGCAACTTCAGGGAAGCATATTTTAATGAACTAAATAACAGTCCATGCCAGGAGGAACTAATGAGAAAAGGATCATGAACTGTTGGAGATTTGCTAGAGGAGAATGCTGAAAGAATACTGAAAAATAAGTGGCTGGACACCACTTTCATAGTAAAAAGGAACTCTCATAATGTTGTTGTCTTAGAGTCAGAGTAGGGGCTTAACCGAGCTGTCACTGAACACTAGCAGGTGTTGACTATATTTGAAGTAAAGTACTGATTTAGGAAGAAATAGATAAGGGTAGAAAAGCCTCGCTTCTACCTCATGGAAGAGGGAAGCACGAGAGAAAGACAGGGCGGGGAGGAGTTCCATTGCCTCTTCATCCCAGGCACTCATTTAACTAACAATAGGCCAGGTGAGAAAGAGGCACGGGGCAGCCCTCCCCTGCTTTGCCCCAGCGCTCACCCAGCTGATTGGCAGTTCCCTGACTGGACTCCTAGAGGGGTGAAGCTTCAGCCCTCTCCTGTCATCCTCTTTACAATTTCCTGGCAGAACAGATAATTTTCTGTTGGAAAATCTGATCTGAATAAGTGGTGGAGTAGCTCAGCTGTGTCTTTTTATACCTCTTTGCATTTTGCCTTCTTCCCTGAGCAAATGTTATACTGAGTCTTTTTATTTCCTTTGAACGTATCTAAAGAAGTTCTTTTTGTTTGTCCTAACAGTCTTTGCTCAACTGGGCTCGTTTTGAGCTTTTGCTTCCTTTTTTAAAAAATACATACTTTATAAATTTAAAAACCAACAAACACACTGAAAAGATCTAAGAACAAGATTCCAATAGCAACTTTTATACGTACTCTGGTAAACAAAAAGAGGAATATAGCCTTTTATGCTTTCCAAAAAGAACTATTTTTTTCCCAGATTGAATCAAAAGTAACTTTTTTGATATATGTGTAGCAGCCTCCCTGCCTGAGCTCCTTGACTCTGTCTCGGGGTTGCCAATGGAATTCCCCAGGCCTATGGACCTGGGGGATTTCAATCTGCCTTCCCTGGGAGTGGGGTCTGAGGTGGCTCAGGAGTTCATGGCCACCATGACAGCCATGGGCCTATCCCAGGCCATCCAGGGCCCAGCACAGGACAGTGGTCGCACATCTGATCTGGTTTTCCTGTTGGAGCAGTGGCAACGTGATCTGAAGTTGGAGGAGCTCTCTGTAGCTCCCCCATCATGGTCAGATTACTCCCTGGTAGCCATGAGATTCTCTGGCACTGCCCCTCACTGCAGGGAGGTGGGACCTATTTGATCGGTCTGCCCCTGGCGACTGATGGGCCCTGATGGGTTCCAGAAGAAACTGGGGGTTGTTCCTGATGGTCTGTTGCATGGTGTGACTGAGGCCTTGGTTGTCGTTTGGAATGAGCAGTGGCTGAGGCTTTGGACTGAATTGCACCCATGTGATCTCTCCCTTCCCATGGATCCTGTCACTCTCTCCGTAGTTAATGGAAGAGTTAAGGGAGATGAAGAAGGGGCATCTGGAGCATTGCTGGAGGTCAACAAAGGATGAAATCAACCAAACATGGGTACGAGTTGCTATCAAGGGGTACCTTGTGGTGATAAGGGCAGCAAAGTAGCAATTCTCTGCCCATATTGCACTTGCAGA